TAGTTTAGACATTTTTACTATGTTGATTCTTCCAATCCATGAGCATGGGCGATCTTTCCATCTTCTATAGTCTTCCTCAATCTCTTTCTTCAGGGGTTTGTAATTCTCCTTGTACAGGTCATTCATATCTTTCATTAAGTTTACTCCTAGGTATTAAATTTTTTGAGGTTATTGTAAATGTAATTGTTTCCATGTATTCCTTCTCAGTTTGTTCGTTGTTGGTATATAGAAAAGCTAGTGATTTTTGTAAGTTGGTTTTTGTATCCTGCCACCTTCCTGTATCTGTTTATGGTGTCTAAGAGTTTTTGAGCAGAGTTTTTTGGGTCTTTAAGGTACAGGATCATATCATCTGCAAATAGTGATATTTTGATAGTTTCTTTACCTATTTGTATTCTTTTTATTTCTTCTTCTTGCCTAATTGTTCTGGCTGAAAGTCCAGCACTATGTTGAAAAGGAGTGTGGACAGTGGACATAAGGAAGCCTAAATGTGGATTTCTTTTGATACTATCTGTTTTATCCTGTGATCTGGGGCTAAACACTAAGTCACTGTTATAAATCTAAGCCATGAGTACAATTCTATATCATAGTGTATGAATACTTCTACCAAATCTCTAACATGGGAATATAACTGGACACCAAAGAGTGTCATAGTATATTTCTAAGGACCAGGCTTGGAATTGGCTTACACAATTTTTACCCACTTTCTTATTGTTCAGACCTTGGTGACAAAACTCCTCCCCTACAATTCCAAATGAGTCTGGAAACTGTCAAGGGAGTTAATAAGCCCTAATGCCACTGTGACACTGATTCTTCATTCACCTGTCTGCATTCCTCATGCCTCTTCCCATCTGTTTCTTCAATTTCATTTTCGTGGTGTGTTTTGGTATAAACAATTTGGTATGATTGAAGTGATAAATATTATTCATTATGGGTTGTATTCTGTGTCTGCTAAAATTAAATCTTCCCTCAACTGAATGTTAAAATTTTTTTCCTTAACTCCTTCTAGTAAAATGCACGTTTTGATTCTCCCACTTAAAAATAAGTGTATATGAAACATATTTTGTGGAAGGAATGAAATAGAGATCCAGGAACAAGGGAGAAGTACATATGTTCAGTATAAAAACAATAGCCTGTGAAAACAATATCCCCATATGGAAACCAGCATAACCCATATAAGAAAGGAAGTGGACAGAGATGAGTGTAGTTCGAGCAGAAAGCCTCATTGGGGCAGGATGATAATGGAGAGGCCAATGAAGCGCAAATGATATAGTACCTCATGAAATTATTGCCCTGTAGAATAAAGGCAGTCAAGCACAAGGATCGTGAGTGAATGTTCATGTCTGCAAGTTGAAGGTAATAGAAGGAGGATGGATAAGTCGTTGAAGTCCACAGGAGTCAGAAGATTTTGACTTTGAGATTATCAAGGGAATCATCATGAATCTGAACTAAAGATGAGTTTTGCTTTCTGTTAGCAGAAAGAGCACTGCAGAAGTGAGAATCAGCCAATAAGGTGCATTAGGACAGCCCCCAGTCATGGCCTATGCTGTAAGACCCTGAGGCTTACAAGGGCTCTGTGCTCTTATGGAGACAGAGACTTCAAAGAATGAGCACAGACAAGGTCAATCTTTTTAATGATACTTTATGTGCAGAGAGAAGGCAGCCTTGCAGTGCTGTGGAGAAACTACTGTGGCAGAGAAGTACACAGTTGTCTGAGAGGAAGTAGCTGACTCCACAGTGAGGGGAAAATCTTCCTTGTTTGATCTGGAGATGCTGAATTCATTGGAGACTTCTCCTTTGTCAGTGTGGTGATCACCATATGAGTAATGGATCAGCTTCAGCCCATGCCCAGGGTCTTGTTGATACCAGTACATACAGCCATGTTTGTGAGTCTGGTGGCAGCCCAAAGTCACCTTTCCTCCTGCCCCGTGACCTTTTGTCTTGGGTTTTGAGTGATTGTACCCCACACATGTCCTGTAATGGAGAATGACACAGCCTGCCGATGTCACCTCAGGGAAAGTTCTGGGAATTCCTGGGAAGGAAGTTCACCTGTGACCAGCACTCACCTGCCCACAAGTGGTTGAAGGCCACATAGAAGAGGTTAGTGCCCATTTCAGGACCAAGGAGGAATATTTTGTCTTGCAGCCCTGTTTTGGGGAAATAGAATGTGGGCTGTCCTTGAGTCAATGACGTCGCTGCCCTTAACAAATGATTGAGTTGCACAGGTAACTCGCCACACCCCTTCCCTACACAGATAAGTCAATATTCAATTATGTACACATAGTTTTATGGTATATATAATAATATTTTATAGAATACACATATAATTGGACAGTTCAAAATGGAAAGACTTTGTAGTTTGTTTTAAATCATAAATGCTTATGCTGTTTTTTTGTTCATAGTAAGGACCTCTGTTCCTCTGAGGATAGTTTATCATCATTGTGATACAATTTCTTATTTGCATATTGTTTTAATTTTCCCTAATATTCTTGTAGCCTCAGGCACATGCTTACAGCATTTCTGTTGCTTCTAAGACATTTAAAAATGCATCTGCTTACCTTTTATTAGCTTTTCTCATTGCCAAAACTCTTAATATTTGAGTGTTATGCTGCACTGATACCCATATTATAAGTCACGCCCAAGGTCCAGAATGGCTTAAAGGTGTCAAGGTCAGGGTCATTATTATTTAAAGAGATTTTTATATGTTCTCTCACACAGATTCAGCTGACAGGAGGCCTTCAGACTTAGGCCTCAGTATTTCCTCATGGATGTGAATCTCCCTGGTTTCATATGCAGCTTGGACCCTGCATGGGTCCTACCTTCCCATGGCTCTGTTATCCTCCAGAAGAACAGATGACTCAGTTGCAATGTGGTTGATCTATTTGCCAAGAAATACATGTCTGGTGCCTCCAGGGTCAGAGGAAAATGCTCTCTCTTTATTCTGTAAGTCTTATATTCACCAAATAGCATAATATTAATTGAGTAATAAATCTGCTAAAATTAAAAGCTTACATATGCTCAGTAACAGTGCATATAGTCATTTAAAACAAAGGACATATTTGAATTAGAGACATGTGAACTTACATCTTGACAGAATCTTGATGAAACCTTCTACAATCATGCTTTAGTGATAAAGGACACAAAACCAGAAGTAGAGACAGGAGGGGCCAGTATAGCACCCAGATGTGGAGGCTGGGATTGGGGCCAAGCTGTTCAGAAGGGGATTTTCTACCTATGCTCAGAGTTCAGCTGCTCCCAAAAATCTGGAACCACCAAAAAAGGAGCCCATTTGCCCATGGATGGGTCAGGGCAAGGAAGAGGAGCTCTTCTAGGTCAAGAATTAGATTTTTTGAGTAGGGAATTTCTAGGAATTCCAAAACTCTAAGAATCACTTCCAGAATAATGTTTGATCTACCAATAATGTTAGTCTTTTAAACAATATTCTAGCTTACTTGAGGAGATAATCACATACCTGGAAGGAATATCTCCTTTTATTTTATTTTTTAATTTATTACTGAATTACAAATTTTCTGTTGTTGAAATGTATGTCTCACATTAGACCTATTACAGGACAAACACTCTGTGTATTAATATTATATGTCCTGGAAGTTGACAAGCAGTAAATCAAAGTAATCAAAACCCATTATGTGACTTCCTATTGCTGCTCAGCTGGTCTTGCAGTACAGAAATAGTATTCTGCTACATATTACTGACAAATACTGCAAAACACCATGGAACTATAGGAAAACTTTGGTTTTGTAGTTATAGAGTTGTGGGCTTTGATCCTGGCTCTGGAAATTCCAGGAGTTTCAGCTTCCTATCTATAAAGTGATATACAGAAATCCTCATTTATAAAGTGTCTACATTTGCATGCAGACACACAACATAGTAGATCTATTTTTAACTTTTTGCTGAACTTCCATACTGATTTCCATAGAGGTTTACGTTAGTTTACATTCCCACCAAAAGTGTATGAGAGTTTCTTTGTCCCCACATCTTTGCCCGTGTTTACTGTTGAGTGTTTACTTGATGATTACCATGGTGACTGCAGTGAGATGGAATATAAAAGTAGTTTTGATTTGCATTTCCTTCATGACTAAGGATGTGTAACATTTACTAACCATTTATACTTCTCCTGAGAACTGTATTTAATTCATATGCCCACTCATTAACTGGATTAATAGTTCACTACATGATTCTTGGGCATATATCCAAAGGAGTATAAATCAACATACCAGAGAGATACCTGTACATTCATGTTTATTGCAGCACTGTTCTTGAGAACCAAGGTATGGAAACAGCCTGGATGCCCCAAAACTCATGAATGGATGAATAAATTTTGGCACATATACACAATGAAATGTTATTCAGTTATAAGGAAGAATGCAATTATGTTTGCAGAAAATGGATGGAATGGGAGTTCTTCATATTGAGTAAAATAAGTCAAAACTCACAAAGCCAAATATCACGTTTTTGCTCATATGTGGAATCTAGATCTAAAAGGAAAATAATAATAATGATGATGATGATGAAAATGGGACATGAATATAAAAGAACTATGGGGGATAATCTGTGGAAGGGGGAGACAAGGATAAGAGAAGGTAACAGAGGGTGAAGAAGTATGAAGCATATAACATGTATATTTATGAAGATGAAACCTACAAAATGCTGTTTGAAAATGGGGAGAGGGAAGTGGGTTAGAGGATATGTGGGAGGGGTGAACTTGTATAAAGTACATTGTATACATGTACTTGCCACAATGCAACTCCCTTGTATTAATAGTGATTCCTAAAAGGAAAAGAAAAAAGACACATTATATATGTCCACACTCTTGCACACAGTAGGAGCTCCCCCCAACTTGCTGGGAATTAAAAGTCAAGTTCTTCCTGTGGGCCAGAGATCCAAATGTTCAGAAGCTTTCTGAGCCCAGCGGGACAAAGAGAGAGTTAGTAAAGAACTAGAAGCATCCCTGGTGTTTGTTAAGGCTGTGCGACAACCTCTACTCATTTCCCTTTTAGATTATCAGCTGAGACAGGAAGATTTGGGTACAGAAAACCAGAAACTCTGTAGGGCTGTGCCAAGCTGCTGGCACAGAGGTACACAGCTGAGTCCCCCAGCTCCAAGGCACTCATGTTCAGCTCAGAGTGATAGTCATTGAACTGTTGAGCTGTGAATCGGTTGGGGATGTTTTCTTCATTTCTTGGCATCTTTTCATAATGTTCAATGAGTAGCTGGGGTCCCTGATCTGGAGTCTGCTGGTACCAGGATACACTGATGTGTCCAGAGATGGGAAAGCATTGCAGAGTGGACTTTCCTCCCTTTGCTTTGATTAGGTATCTTGGGGACTGGATGACTCCAGCATCCACAGAACCTGAGAGGAAGAAGACAGGAGTGAGGACCTACCCCAGGGAGGAGGTGTATGCTCCAGCAACCATAAAGAACTATGACTTCAGGGGTTACCCCACCTGTGCTCAGGTCTCACCTGCTCCCAGAAGACAAAGGGTAACACAGCAGAGGAGGCTGGGGCTCCAGGCAGAGTCAAGGAAGACAGAACTTGGCATCTTGCTACTCAGGGAACAGATCCCCCAATAAGAGAAAGGTGTTCTGCTCCTCCCTCTCTCTTTGGATGGTGTGCCTGTGATGTCAACATTCTGAGGTCTGTGTCTCAGTCTTCCCTGATTGTGCACCCCTAAACATGCTCAACTGATTGGGGCTTCTCCCATTCTTATGCAGCCTCCTATGGGAGATAAGGAGGCTGACTATGTTGAGTGAGACAGGACAAGGTGTCTCACCCCTCCCCCACGGTTTCTGGAACTTTCCTCTGAAGCTCCTTTCTCTCCAGGTGGCCAGGGTGGTCTGGCTGCCCCATCACACTGAAGCCCCATCACACTCCCCATTAATTGTATCAAATCAAGGCCTCTGCCTTGGTTTATGCAAGGGTGCAGTTCATAGCTCCCTATCGCGATGCATGTCAGTGGATATGCAAAGACCAGGACCAATCCCTCCTGTGCCAGTACTACTTCTTTTCATCAGGCATTATAATATCCCTGGCTCAGACCCCCAAGTCAAGTCTCCGCCAGAATTCACTCTCTCAGGAGCAGCCAGGGGCTCACTCGGTGGATCCACAGTGCCCTCAAGTGGCCACTCACTGGAATAGAGCTCTACTAGTTGTCCTAGGAGCTGGAATCTAATTCATGCATCAGGGTCTGCCACCATACAGCACAACCTTTACTATCTTCAGGTTTACTTGCAGCAATCTCAGATTTTGTCTGTGGTAATGAGAGAGGCATAAGAAAACTTCTTTTTCTCTAAAAAAGGTAATAAAAATTCTAAATCTCATCAATGAGCTTTTAAATATTTTGAACTCTTCCAGAATTATTTATGGTACTGATTTCTAATTTAGCTCCACTCTGGCCAGAGAAGAGCTTTTATTTGTCTTGAGTAGTTTTTAAATGTACTGATATTTATCTTATCATCTTCAGTGCATATTCCACCTGGTGCCCGGACAGTGTGCCCTCCACAAAACCCTCAGCTCTGTTGCTATTGGGTAGAGAGCTCTGTAAATGTCAGTGAGGTCACATTGGTTGGGAGTGTTGTTCATGTCATTTACATCCTCCTAGATTATTTTGTCAACTTGTTACTAAGAAAGTTGTTGATTATAGTTGTCTATTTTTTCTTGCACCTCTGTTTTTGCTTTTGTATTTTGAAGCTCTAGGTTTAGATGTGTAAATTTCCTTATCCTTTGCCCTCTTTATATACTGTCTTTTTTTGTGCATTGGGATATAACTTTTTAATCTCAGATAATATTCCCTGCTCTAAAATTTAATTTGATATTGATAGTTGATTCTAGCCATCTCTTGATTAGCATTAGTATGGTATATCTTTTTACTTTTTTACCTTCTGATTCCTTATAGTTATAGAGCACAAATTCTGGTAGGAGGCATATAGGTTTTGGTTTCTTTTGTTTCTGTGTTTGTTTTTGTTTTGCTTTGTTTTGTTTTGCTTTGATGATCCTGGGGATTGGACACAAAGTCTCACACACTCACACATACTATCACTCTACCACAGGTACACCCCAATGCCAACCACGCTTTGGACTGAGATATTGAGATTATTCAGATGTGATGTCATGGTTAATAATGGTTACATTCTTGTCTAACTTCTTGTATTTGTTTTAATAGGTTCCATTTCTTCTCTGTTCTGTTTGCTTGTTTGCTTTGAGGCCATCTAGTGGATTAATTTAGTACTTTTGTAATTCTGTTCTTTTTTTGTTGACTTATTAGCTACAACTCTGCTCTCTTACTGGTAACAGTACACATCTTTATGTTGACACAGTCTGTCTTCAAGTGACTTACATAGAATATGAAAACTGTACAATGCTTTTATAGTTATTCATTTATTCTCTATTTGCTTTAATATTATTTTTATAATTTTTGGTTTTACATAATTATAAGTTCCACTATACTGGAATTATTTTGGTAGACAGTAAATTATTATTTAAAGAAATTTAATGTTAAAATTTTACTTTGGGGATCTCCAATTACTGATTTGGCTTCTTGAAGTTATCCCCAGCTCACTTATACCCTTTACTCTTTTTCTCCATGCAATGAATATAAATTGTTCATTGGTGAACAGTTGATTCATCAATCAACTGTTCATCAATCTTTTCTTCTGTAATACCTAATCTGCTGCATTTCAAAGGCAGTTCTAAAACAAATACGTTCCACAACTTTACCTTTAGAGGAGTTAGAACCATTTCATCCTAAACATTCCGGTGAGAGTTTTATAATGAAAAATGGAGCGCTAAACTGATCCTTGAGGTCCCTAACAGTATGAGTAAATAATTTATTCTTTTCATTACTAGCTTAACTCTCAAAATTTCTCTTTATGTGAGGAACAGCCACAGTCCCTGTCACTGTGGAGAAGTTAGGTTTAGATCTAAGAAGATGCTGAAAGCTGGAGGAATATGGTTTTGAGAAGAGCACAGATGACCTAGCTGAATCCCCCACATTGAAAGAATGCATGTCCTGTTTACAGGGTGAGATGTTAGGCTGACCAGCTTGGAAGATGCCAACATATTTTCACCCTCACAAGACCTCTGTCACAGTAGTGTAAAACTGGCACTGGTACATTTCTAACTTACATCATTTCAGTAGCTGATGCTCCAGAGCAATTGATTTGCAGCTGTCACTACCTGATTCCTAACGCATGCCTTCAAGAAATCTGTGTGAGAATGGCATCAGAGAACCTACACCCAGATGTCTGTGTGAACACAGTGTCTTGGCTACCCATGGATGGAGATAGAAGGCTCCAGGCAAATGTTTAGAAATTGAGTCACATCAATTTCTGGGTCATACATTCTCCCGTGGTTCTACAGCCACTTGCCCCAGGAGACAATGGACAATTGAGCAGAGGACCATAGAATCTCTTAAGTTCTCTAAAAAAAAAAGTCGTTTTCAACCTAGATACTAGAGGTTTTCAATGTGCATGATTCCTCTGCCAAAGTGTGGCACACTCAATGCAGTGATTCTCCAAGTTTCTCTCTTGAGAGAAAAAGATATGTTGGAGATATGTGCATCTGACAGGGGCTGGACCAGGTAGAGGACATCTCAAAGCTCCGATGCTGTCTGTGTACCTACTGATCACGTGTGTCTGTGGCACAGTTCCTGCTTATTGCCCCATTCCTAGGTCTTCCCTAGGAAGGCCCAGGTTTTGGTTTCCTCCCACCCAGCCAGCTCTGCCACACTGTCTTCTATACAGCAAGTGGTTCAGGGATGAGTTAGGCTGAATTTACAGCTTTTCTGTTAGTTCACTGAATTTCTGTGCTGTATGCACATGTTCTTGGATATAAGAATAAGGATGTGGACAGGGATTAGGATGAGAATTGGGAAAGTGATGGGGATGAGGACATAAAACACCACCTGCCTGGTATCTGCCGGTCAAAATACACCAGATCTTCTTTCAATAGTGAGGTGTGTAGTTATAACATTACATTCAGCACAAATTCACAGCATTGCAAGCCATCCCCTTGATTCAGAAATCCAGCAGTCCTTGTTACCTTCTATTTTCCTAGGAAGCTCTCAGCCTTGATCAGTCACTCATGGCTCTCCTGATTTTAAGTCAGCCCTACTTCTATAGGAGCTGAGGGAATCTTGGGGTTTCATCTCACTACACATCATTAATCTAAACAATCAGAGAGAAATACTACAAAGAATAATGATATTTATTTAAAAATGAAAGTATGTTTTCTCTCATACATGGAGGATAGATACAAAAGATAAATATATGCACAAATATGTTTATGATATTGCATCAACAATATCATAACACATTTGGGTTTTATGTGGATATAAGGATAATTATTGGAAGCTATTGAAAAATGGAAGTTGGGAGGTAAAATGATAGAAGGGGTTGAATGGATCCAAATAAAGTAGATTCACAGTGGGAACACTTTGAGAAACCCCTTAGAACATCAACTTAAATAACCTAAGACAGGACTATAAAATAAGTATAGTCTGGGGGGAATACTCGTGGGAGGGGGAAGGGTGAATGAAAGAGATTAAGGTGGGGTGGATGGACTTCGTATACTTATATGGAATAGAACAGAGAAACCTTTTGAAATTGATTTAAGGAAGGGATCGAGGGGGATAGACAATGGAAGTTATCTAACCAATGTACAATATAAGCCTATTTGGAGTTGTCACAAGGATTCCTCCCTGTACAAGGAATATACCCTAATAAAAATGTATGTGTAATTACATTGGCAAACTTCAAAAGTACAATGTAGATTTTAAAATAATGTAAATTGAAGTTCAGGTCTTTTAAGAATCAGAATCCAGATGGGATTAAACATGCAAGAGATATTATATAAATACCTGTAAGGGAAAATAGGGCTGATGCTTGGGCAAGGGTGGGAGAGTTCTCAGACTCTGCTGTAGGTGTGACCCTATGAAGGAGAGAGGGAGGGAAGAAATCTTTGGTGAAAATGTCTTAGATTGCAGTGTGACTCTAAAAGAAGTCAATGCCACCTGTCAGAGAGTCCATGCCTCCCCCAAATGGACCTGCTTTATTATTTCTCCTATGCTCAGCCACTAGCTAGACATAGCTCTTAGTAAATGTGGCCCCAGCATGGATGTGATTATGGAGTTCAGAGCAGAGTAGCTGGGAGCATCAGTCAATTATGTTCCCCATAATCACAGACTCAGAGATGTATTTTCATGGTTACTGCATGCTATAATATAATCCTATTTAAATTAAATATATATGCAAAATGATGCTATATATTAGTTACAAATGTATACATAAAAACAAAAGAAACAGAATATTTCCCTTAGAGTTGTGGCCACTTCAGGATTAAAAGGAAAGCAACAAAATTGCAGAGGGGAAGTACTTGGGTCTTTGATTCTTTCTTCAATGTGTTTCTTTACACACACACACACACACACACACACACACACATACAAATTGGAGGGCTGGAAGCATTGCTCAAGTGGTAGAGCATCTGCCTAGCAAGTGCAAGGCTCTGAATTCAAACCCTAGTACCACCAAAAAATCCAAAACAAAACAAAAGAAAAA